AGAGTGCGTCGGTTTGCGTTACGCACAATGGGATTCCATAGGCATATTTATGGCCGAATATTTCCCTCTTAGGGAAAAGCCTAAGAGAGTGTAAATGGTTACCAGTGAAGTAGCGAGATAGCATTGCTATCAAGATATAAATATGACATCCATTTATCACATTTATGCATTATGTATTATGTACTTTGATATATTTAATTATTCACAGAGAAACAAAATATGCACTCTCATTTTTTTGAATAGAATCCTATAAAAATTTTACTTATATAACTTTATTCAAATTTTATTGTTATAGTTATTTATATTGTGATATCCTCTTCAAAAAAAAAAAGATAAGAAATTCTCGAGAGACATTTCAGTGAACTTGGGAATCGCGACATAAACACGGGTTCATCGTGATCTTTTTTATCTTGCTTTAGTGGGTTAAGGATCTTTTGCCGTGCTTCGGGAAAAAAATTTTATGTGTTCCCTGGATAGTTACATAATTTAATGCTCGAGTGTAATCGTTGTATCATATTCACGAGCTCTATCTATCAGCGGTTCTCCAGCTATGCTCTTTCCAATTTACGGAGTCTTCTCTGTGTTACTGTAAATTTTATCTCACCGAACGCTGATTGTACGCATTCTTATCAATTATTCTACAACATTTAACATTTATTAAATTATATATGGCTACACATTTATTTCTTCCGGACAAGAAAATAGTGTTTTTATCGTAAGCTCGCGAAGCGCTTGAGAGCCGTTTGATACAAATCAAACATTTGGAATCTTCGCGCAATACGATGTAGAATTTTCTAAGAAAACACATTCCGGAGAGACATGGCTCCCGCGGCGAATTCATAACCCTCCAGCCGAGTTGCCGGTTGCGCGAGATTTATCTTTCGCGTCCGCGATCGCGCGAGAGACACTGTTATGGTTTCGGCTCTCGTAGTCGATCCGGTTTCGTGTTATTTTACATAAATCTGAAGCTACACCATGTCGCGTGCGACGTCCTCGCGCTGTAATTCACGCTATAGGCGGCCGCGCTAACTGAATTGCTTTCACCAGGCTTCCTGCCAACTTTTAAGCTCGCGTGTCAAAGGCACGAGCACCGACATGAGATTCACGTCGCGCTCCAACCGCCAGTCTTTTGATCGCATTAATATGAAGATTAAATTAATTAATTAGTTGGTTCTAGATACAGTATTACGTCAGTATTCCCGACCGCCAGCTGACATGCACGAGCAAAACTGATTTATGTTCTTTGCATCATGTAAATTATAATTGCATGAACTAAATACATGTTGATTTATATTATCGCATCTGGCGTCAAATGGGAGATATAAATTTACGTCATATTCTAAACTGGCCCTTAAACGTGATGATTTGCTATGATCATTGTACACAGTTAGCGATTATCAGCTTGTGCGATTAATTAATTCCCGTCATAGATGATACGTAAATGCATCGCGGCGATAGCTATTTATCGAAGCAAGTATATCGCGCGACTTATTTGTTTTTAAAATAAAAATCAAAGTAAGAGATTTAAGAAAGAAAAATCGTGATACATTAACAGTTTATTAATAATTAATTTGGATTACAATTGTCGGAGATATGATGTTATATTTGCTAACAGATAGTACAAAAATACGCTCTAAGGCGATTACTACCTTGTATATATTATAACATAGATTATAACATATACTATAACATAGATATACAAATAAATATTTTCAAGTTAAAATAAGAGTTCTGCAGAATGTAATATTTGAAAATATATTATCCTCTTATTGACTTGATTGCACGACAGATTTTGATAAAATAAATCATGCGCATAAAATATGCGTGAACGCTCGAAATATACTTATCATTATCAAACAGTCGATATATGATGCCTTTTCATTATTTGTATCACTCGATTCGACGGTTTGTATATTAATCCGCGCTCTCAAAAGGAACGAATATAAGTTATACTTGAATAATCGAAAATTGAAGACGAAAAATTTTAAACGCTAAATATATTCGCGATTCCAAACACATTTACAGTAATATTATCCATAAATATCGCGACTTGTAAATTTCATTCCGTATCTCTTAAATTCCTCATGTCAAATAAATATATTATGCAAACTTATGCTTCGATAAATAGTCGTCACTATATGTGTCACTTATTGAAATTTATCGCGCTATTATTAGCTATAAGAGGCCGATATATTTTCGAATAAATATTATCCTTTACGGAACTATAATTTTAATTCGTATGTTTATTCAATTTTGTGAATTTCGTAATATAAATTAATATTTGTACTAGAGAATCAAAGCATACAGTATTTGTTAACAATATATGTAGCATCGTATCTTTGCGATAGCGATCCATTTTACATAAGTGTTAATGTCAATGTAGTGTAAGTGTAGTAGCAATGCGGTGCCATTACTAGCAGATATTGTATTACCGCGACGAGTGGTGTGTAAATTTGATCGCGCAACTTTCGAGCGCTGAACAGATCGTAGCTTTGATCATAGTTTCCGCATTATTCCCACTTGCAATACACATAAAAAGTTTCACGTCATGTACGAATATTGTTGGGAATGTCGTGAAAGTTGCCGCGTGGCTGTCATAGTTTAATTAGCGCGATAATAATAATAAACCGTGTTTTCGTGCTTGCGCCATAGAAGAGCAGCCAAGAAGAAACATATAAGAAAAGAGAAAGAAAAAATATCCAGTGACAAAGCAATCCCGGAGCAAGCAATTTATAATTAATTATTTAATTTATTATTTGTTTCTATATTCAAAAGGCTTATTGCTTTATCTTTAATTACATTATTCAGAATAAAAGTAAAACGATAAAAAGATTTTAATATTACGCACCTGTTACTTGCTTGGAAAATAAATGACACTGCAATTATCCGCTATATTAATTTGGCTGTGTTATCAATTACTGTCACTGCTTTCTGAACCATGTCGTAAGTCATGTCGTATCTTGTAAACGCGAGTTTACAAGTAACAATTAATTAAAAATTAACGCTCTAACAAATTAATTTTTATTATCTTGTACCTAACCTAATTATTATTTTTTTGTTCTTTAGTTACTTTGATGCAGTTTAGAATATTTTTCATTAACTTATAATTCCGAATATGCTGTAAAATTGTGATAGTTAAGTAGTTAAGCGATAACACTAATGCAAGGAAGCATATTACAGATAGTGTCGGTCTCTTGTCGCTTATTCTATCAGTTCCTATTAGACAATGAAGTCATGCCTTATCATCATTCCGTAACGATTATCGATACGTTCTCATATAGAGAATTGCACTCGAGTTCTATTGACGTAAACTCACGAGGAAGATACAATAGATAATTGCTCGTGTAAATTTAATATAACCCTTGTAAGATAATACTTCTCATTATTTCTATTTCTCACATTACTTCTATCTTCTAATAGTTTATTATATTCTTACCTTTCTTGGACGTGCGGAACGAGTCGTCTTTAGGCACATATTGTATATCGTAAACCAATGTCGTATTTGCCAGGAGAGTCTTATCCTTGTTGATCTTGTAAATGGCGTACTTGAACGCCAACTCTGATGGGCTATCCTTTTGATCCTCGGTAAAAATCGCTCCTGCAACAATTTGAATAAATGTCTTCTTTAAACGTGCTGGTCTTTTATCTCATATCTGGGATCCTATAATATTACACATACAGTATAGCCACATGAATTATTAATATTATATATGTATATATTTACAATTTAAATAACTGCGTTGTGTGTGATAAGACATTATTTTTAAAAACGCAACAACGATATATAATATATAGAATATCGATTTCTCTTTATTTAAAAATGATATAAAAAATATGTTAGATTGTATATATACAAGCTACATATATATGATATATACATTTTGAAAACATAATTTATGATAAGAGAGAAATTGGTGAAACTTTGCAGTTACACCATTTTGATCAAAAGTAAATATGTATTTAGCATTTAATCACACATATAATTTATTAATTTTATTTAATTAAAATCTATTACAGTAAAAAATGACACTGAAAGGAATCAAAATTGATCAAAGCGGTTCTGTTCGTGAATGTAATTTTCTTACAAAGAGGCCTTTATCTCGCGACTCTTAATAGGCGAATAGCAAATTTCAGCACGTTCGTTAATTGCACGTTCATTTTGTCGGTGATAGGAAGTACGGAATTTTATTTCGGAATTACATTATATCTCTCGAATCGCGAATGAAATTTTCGCGGGGGGAAACGCGTCCACGCCAGAAGCAAGATAGAGTTGGTAACACGACGAATCTGAAAAGAAAATTTCAGCTTTGCTAAAAGAAACTGAATTCATTGGAAGTTATAAGTTATAACGGAGTTCGTGAACTTGCAATAACGACCTCGTCCGTATCTGTCATACATATCTACATACATATACAACGTTAAGGTACCGCGCGATTCTCCCCTAAATTTAATTAATGACTTCATCACGGGCGCAGCTCACTTCGAACGCGAGTTTTAATTAAATTCGAATAATTACCGCGGCCAAAACCGCGCTTACGATATCAGAAAGTACTTTGGTGAAAACTACTTCTCGTAAATTAAACGTCGAATTTGCGTCAAAAATAATCAATATTAAAAATTACATTTTATGTCATGTAATTAATAAAATCATTTTATCATTTACAATTAGTATAAAACCATATTACGTATTTAATAAAAATTGATTGAAATAATTGATAATTAAGTTGATCTTGATGAATAATAAGATAATTGATGAAATTATTCTGTTAATTAATTCGCCAATTAAAATCTACCTTATAAATATTACATTTTTTCTCAACTCTAATAACATTTCTTAAAGGCAAGATTGAAGAAACGTCGGTTGCAATCAGGTGAATGTAATTTGAGAAACGAAATAACGATTAAATGCTTCTTTATTTACGCTGATGCATCTTTAAAGTGTAAGTATCGATTCAAATGTTTCGCTGCCGTTGAAAACTAACATTTTTATAAAAATATACGTAAGGAATAGAACGCGCGCGCGGAACCATAATTGACAGCTCTTAATTCGTATCGTCCTTCATTGTCGCTCATTAAGAAATTTCGACGACGCAAATCTCTGCTCATTCAAAGGTAGCTTAAGCGAAGGCACTTTGCCGCTCGAAAATTGCTTAAGGCGTTATATCGGTTCGCTATTCTTTACATCGCGGCCATTTTTATAATTGCAGTAATCAACTTCATACTTTCAAACCTCTTTTTTGTCTTTCTCATTCGAATTGGCCAAATAAAATGCTTTTCAAAAAAATGATACATTTTTTCACATTAGCTTTATTGCGATTAATCTATCTCGAAGTAATCCGACCTTTAATCCCCCGAAGCGCTCTTCGCTAGGTAACTTCAATTTCCCGGCTTTATCTTGCAGCACGTGACTGCTGCAGCGTTTGAGTTTTTATACGAGTGGTCATTTCTTCTTCTATAAAAAGAGGGGTTTTTTTATAAAAGCGACTAGGCACATAATTATTTTGAAATAAAAATATTTCTGATATACTATTCTAATATACTTATGTGTGTCTTCGATATATTAAAAGTACTACACACATACATCGCTTATAATAATCTAGATTGCAGCAAAGATTTGATTGCAATATATTACTAATTTATAATTACATATAAAATAAAAAAATTAAATTTGAATAATTATTGCGATTAAAAGCGCGTTCGCATTTGTTTGTGTTACATGAAAATTTGTCTAATTATTTCGTCTTATCAAAATATACATTCATTCCAAAAAGGTTTCTTCGCTATTCTAAATTCTTATGCAATTATTAGAATATTATGCAGTAATATGAGAAATTGCATTTAATCATAATTCGTTTATAGACATGCAAATTTATCTTTGTCACGCTCGAAATTTTCAAAGATAAGACTCTTCTGTCGGCGAATCAATCTTCGTCACTCACTTGGAAAGAAGTCAGTGATAATTACATGAAGCCAATTATCTTTTTTGAAACGATGCCATTGGCAGGAACTATTTTACGCGAATATTTAAACCCGAATGTTTGTAATTTTTGAAGACATATTCTGTTCCAGATATGCGCAGAGTAGGATTATTTTGAATGTCAATTTCTCCTTATAATATTATGTTAGAACATCGTTTAAATTTTTATGCTTTGATTCAATATTTTCAATTTTTATCGATTAATCTCATTTCTACCAAAATCTTTATAAAATTTATTTACAAAATTTTGCATTCCTATCATAGTTTTTAATTATAAATTACATATAGTAATTGTTCAATAAATTTTCTGCTCTCTCTCTCTCTCTCTCTCTCTCTCAGTCTCCCTTTTATATTTAATTAAACAGTTGAGCTGATATTATTTTAATAATATTTGACAGAAGCTTATACTGTACTTAGCACGTAGCTATGCGACGGACATTAACGTGGCCATATCTGAGTTCAACCGCATTACAGCAATTGTGAATGCTCTACAACAGAGTTGCATTGTTCTCTCGAGTGCCGTGAAATACAAGAGTAGACTGGGTGTTTTGATGATGGTGCCATTGCTGTTAGGAACGATCAGCACGAATGACTCTCTTAGGCATCTATCATCTCTTTTTGTATCGAGCAGACATTTTTTTTTGTATGTCGTGCCATCGAATATAATAAGATTTCTACAAAATTCATCGATTTCATTTTGATGAAAGGTTATTAGAGTACACAGATTTTACAATTAGTAAAATTTAATGCATATATATCGAAAGAAATTATATTCTTTTTCAGTTAAAGACATTTTTCATTTATATATTTTTATTTTATTTATAGATATCTTTATTTCTCCGAGAAATCATTTGTGACATTATATGTTTTGTAAAGACTTCTATACTCGCGTACTTTGTTGTCATCGGGCTCACAGTGAAGCCTCTTTTCAGAGAAGTATAAATGCCAACTTTTATTAAAATGGAACGCGCTTCCGACTTGAGAAAAATCGGAGATAGCTTGAATATACTATTCGTAATTTGTTCGGTGCCCATTGATAGAATAATAAGTCTTCGGAAACCATAGATGTTATAAATTAATAGGCTCTATACTTTTCAGAAGCAAAAAATAGTCAGAGGCAAAGTAATTAAAGCGAAAAATATTCAGAGAATTGTAATAATATTTTTTTTAGATAGAAGTTTCTCATTTTTTTATATCATTACAATACATACTTTCATAATAAACATATAACTGCAATAATTCTGTAGAGACAATAAAAGGCGCCTACCTATTGATTAACCAACTGACCTATGCGTTAGCAAGGCTTCGAAAACAAAGCTATAGATTACCGTTCTATTAAATAGTCTGTAGTATTCTTTATTCTTTATTATTTTCACCGCAAGAAAAGAATCTTAATATTTATTTGATACGAGAAATAATTTTTTGAAATAAGTAATAATCTTACAAATGAAATAATGTATAAATAATTCACCAAACGATAGTTTTTAAAGTTTTATATGTTGATAAGTCTTTTAAAGAAGTTTTGTATTATATAGAATACAACACATACACAGAAAAATATCAATAGCATATTATAAAAAACACAATATATAGTTTTGTATTGCCGCATATCAGTCGCCATTGTTTACAAATCCCTGATAAAATGGATTATTTTATTGGATTTTCCCAGTTATTTGTGTAACTGTGGTACTTTGAATAGACCCTACGTGTATTTGCTAATAAATGTTCCCGCAATATTTTACGAGAGCGCGCGGCACGCTGAATAAATTACTGGAAAAACCGAACGTAAACGCGGAGAGCACAGTTGTATTTTCAATACTGTGCAGAATGTTCATTAACATTCATGTTTTCAACGATATTATCAGTATGTTGATTATTCTTGTCAGTTAATATCAGATAGGGGAGAGACTCTGCGATCATACGTTATCATTAATAATTATTTCGTTTAATACATAGCTAAATTGTACATTGAGCAAATGCCTCGCTCGCGATTAAGATTTTAACAAACTCTTTATTAAATTTGATGGCACTGAATATTCATTAGACGCGCTATTGATATGAATAAAACACGTATCATTCTCGCGGATTGAATATAGATAAAATGATTGAAATAATTATATAAAAAATGATGAAGTTAACCAAAATTTCACTTATATATTCTACGCTTTAATAATGAAATAATTGGAAGCGAATAAAATTTTGTAATGAAGTAATAATTTTGACAGCGTGTACAATATAATTATTTATTAATTATTAATTTTATAAATAAAATATACAAACATAAATTTTGTTAAACATTAATTACAAAAAAGATATTTTATTTGAAATTATTGAAACTTTCTCGACGATCTGACACATTTGAAATTAATATATTTTCTCTTCTTCCTCTCTCTCTTTCTCCTCTCTCTCTCTTTCTCTCTCATTATTATAAATATTTTGTTTATTAAATGATATAGTTTATTCATATTTTGCTTAAAAACAAAATGTTTTTTTATTTTTTATAATAAAGTAGAAAAAGTAGAAGGATATATTGAAACTTGCAAAATCTACTTTTCGCACGTGGTCGACAATAGATGTGACAAGGTGGAAGGAGTTAACATAGCCGCGTGAATTGTTATGGA